ACAAGTTGTCCACCTTGGTTCTGAAATCAGAAAATGATTGGGGGGTTAAGTGAGATGAATTTTCTTTGGAGTTGGAAAGGATTTAGGGAAAGGCATATTAACAAAGATACATTATTAAAGTGCAATATTTACAAATCCCAAAGAAGCTTTTAGGGATTTAGAGATTTAATCTTTGACTTTTAAAATCAGCTTTCCAGGGCGCCTGGGTGGCTCAGTCAGTTGAGCGATTGCCTTCGGCTCAGGTCATGATCCCAGGGTCCTGGGATCGAGTCCCACATCGGGCTCCCTGCTCTGCGGGGAGCCTGCTTCTCCCTCTCTCACTCCCCCTGCTTGTGTTCCCTCTCTTGCTGTGTCTCTCTCTGTCAAATAAATAAATAAAATCTTTAAAAAAAAAAAATCAGCTTTCCATTGTCAGTCAAAATACCAATGAACATTAAAAAGCTGCAGGGAGCAATGAGACAGGCACTTACCTACTGCTAGTGCAAGTACAAATTGATAGTCTTATCTAGGAAGCAGTTTGGCAAAGTAGGTGAAAACTCCTAGCATGCCACTTCTCTTCACTTCTGCTGATTTTACCCTGTTCTGAGGCCCATTATCTATTGCCAGGAGTTTGCAATAGACTCCTAACTGGTCTCTGCTTCTCTACCCTGCCCCCATTATAGTCTATTTTCTTTTCTTTTTTTTAAGATTGTATTTATTTGAGAGAGAGAGCAGGAGCAGGGGGAGTGGCAGAGGGAGAAGTAGGCTTCCCGCTGAGCAGGGAGCCCAATGCAGGGCTCGATCCCAGGACCCCAGGATCACAACCCAAGCTGAAGGCAGACGCTTAACCGACTGAGCCACCCAGGGGTCCCTGTAGTCTGTTTTCAACACAGTAATCAGAGTGACCCTTTTCAGATGAAAGTCCGATCATGTTATTCTTCTGCTCAGCCCCTGTGATTGCTTCTCATTTCACTCAGAATGAAAGTGAAGTCCTTTCAGTAGGACTATAAGGCCCTCTGTGAACTGACCAGCCCTTTCTCTCTCTGACTTCCTCTACTACGACTGTCCCCCTCATTTGTTCCCTTAGCCATACTGGCCCCTTTGCTGTTCCTCAGACACATCCCATAGGCTTTCCACTTAGGGGCTTTGTACAGTTTCCTTCATCTGAAATGCTCTTTCTTCAGCCATCTACTTGGTTAACTCTGTTTCCTTCAAGTCTTTGTGAAAATCTTACCTTCTCGGGGCGCCTGGGTGGCTCAGATGGTTAAGCGTCTGCTTTCAGCTCGGGTCATGATCCCAGGGTCCTGGGATCGAGTCCCGCATCGGGCTCCCTGCTCGGCGGGGAGCCTGCTTCTCCCTCTCCCTCTGCCTCTGCCTCTCTCTCTCTCTCTCCCTGTCTCTCATGAATAAATAAATTAAAAAAATCAAAAAAAAAATCTTACCTTCTCAATGTGTCTTATATTGGTTACCCTATTCAATATTGCAGTGCCCTCCCCTCAGCACTCTGACACTTCTGACACCCTCTGCCCTGCCCTTTATCTCTTTTCCATAGCACTGTAGACTGTGTTTATTCATATTTACTACTTACCCACTGCCTTCTCCCACCCTTTAAAAATATAAGCTCCGCAAGTACAGGTTTCATGGTGTCTGGCACAGAGTCGATACTCAAATATTTGTTGAATGGATGAGCTTTAAAAATAGCACTATCTTTTGACCTAGAAATCTCACTTCTAGACTCGTTCCTAAAGTAGAGATGTAGCCAAAGATTTATTTAGGTTGTTCTCATAGCTGTATTTATTATAGTGAAAAATTTCAAACAACCTAAAACAGAGTAATGGTTAAATGATTTGATCTATCTACATAATGGAATATTATAAAGATATTTAAAATAATGTTTTGAAGAATATGTAATTATATGGGAAAATGCGTATAATGTTAAAGTGAAAGAAGCTAGGATGCCTGGGTGGCTCAGTCGGTTAAGTGATTTCAGCTCAGGTCCTGAACTCAGGGTTGTGAGATCGAGCCCTGTGTTGGTCTCTGTACTGGGCGTGGAGCCTGCTTAAGATTGTCTCTTTCAAAAGGGGAACCCTCTTACAGTGTTGGTGGGAATGCAAACTGGTGCAGCCATTCTGGAGAACAGTATGGAGGTTCCTCAAAAAGTTAAAAATAGAACTGCCCAATAATCCAGCAATTGCGCTACTAGGTATTTACCCAAAGGATACAAAAATACAGATTCAAGGGGCACCTGGGTGGCTTAGTTGGTTAAGCGTCTGCCTTCAGCTCAGGTCATGATCCCAGGGTCCTGGGATCGAACCCTATGTTGGGCTCCCTGCTGAGTGGGGAGCCTGCTTCTCCCTCTCCCTCTGAAGCTCCCCCTGCTCGTGCTCATGTGTGCTCTCTCTGTCAAATAAATAAGTTTAAAAACAAAAACAAAAATACAGATTCAAAGGGGTGCATGTACCCCGATGTTTATAGCAGCATTATCAACAATAGCCAAACTATGGAGAGGCCCAGAGGTCCATCAACTGATGAATGGATAAAGATGATGTGGTATATATGTACAATGGAATATTACTCAGCTATCAAAAAATCTTGCCATTTGCAATGATGAGAATGGAGCTAGAGTGTATTATGCTAAGTGAAGTAAGTCAGAGATACACAAATACCATATGATCTCACTCACGTGGAATTTAAGAAAGAAAACAGATGAACATATGGGAAGGGGAGGGGAAAAAAGAGAGGGGGAAATAAACCATAAGAGACTTTAAGATTCTATTTATTTATTTGAGAGAGAGAGAGCAAGAGAGAGAAAGCATGACGGGGGGAAGGTCAGAGGGAGAAGCAGACTCCCTGCTGAGCGGGGAGCCTGATGCAGGACTTGATCCCAGGACTCCGGGATCATGACCTGAGCCGAAGGCAGATGCTTCACTAACTCAGCCACCCAGGTGCCTCCATAAGAGACTCTTAAAGATTGAAAACAAACTGAGGGTTGATGGAGGGAGGTGGGTGGGGGATGGGCTAGATGGAAGAAAGGTATTAAGGAGGGCACTTGTGATGAGCACTGGGTTGTATGTTAAGTGAATAATCACTTAATTCTACTCCTGAAACCAATATTGTACTGTATGTTAAGTAAGTAAAATTTAATTTAAAAATTTAAATTAAAAAAAAGTTTCTCCCTCTGCCCATCCCCTTCCCCCCTCTTCAAAACAAATGTGCAAGAAGCTAGACACAAAAGTATGATTCCATTTATATAAAATATCTAGAATAGGCAAATTCATAGAAACAAAGTAGATTAGAGGTTAACAGGGGCTATGGAGAGAGAGAATGGGATGTTACTGCTTACTGGGTACAGAATTTGGAGTGATTAAAAAGTCTTAGTAACAAGGCGCCTGGGTGGCTCAGTTGGTTAAGCGACTGCTTTCGGCTCAGGTCATGATCCTGGAGTCCCTGGATCGAGTCCCGCATCGGGCTCCCTGCTCGGCAGGGAGCCTGCTTCTCCCTCTGACCCTCCCCCCT